TTATCTGTATATGATTTAACAGTTCATTTCTTGTTATATATATAATTATCTTTATAAATAAATATATTAAATTATCAGCAATTTGGTTTTACCTCTCTAGAGAACCCTGTCTAACACAAGGGGATTGGGAACCATATCTAGGTCACACAGCTAGAGAATGGCAGAAGGGAATTTAATCGGCTCGATTTCAGAACTCTGTACTAGAATGAGTACCTATCATTCACTGTAGTAGCAACAGGTTTTGTGTGGAGAAAATAAGGCTTTGTACCTCAAAGCAATGATTCTCAACACGTCATCTTAGTGTTAACCAAAAATGTAAGCACTGCATTGTTTAGGTTCCTGGTGGTGACCTTCTAGAGAATATGGTACTTACTAGAATATGGGGTTGCTGATGGCAAGATTGGCTTTTCAAACCCATCAGGTACTCCACAGGAGAAAGAAGAACTTGCTCTTATAAAGATGTAGTCTTGGAAATTCTATATAGGACTGTTATGAGTTGGAATTGGCTTGACAGCAATGTGTTTAGAGACATTTTTGTCATTAGGGAAAAGGGGTTGCGGGGATAGGACTACTGGCATCTGGTAGATGAGACCAGGGATGCTTTTAAAATCCCACGATGCTTAGGACTGCCCACACACCCCAAAGAATGATCTTGCCCCAAATGCCAATAGGCTGAGGTTCAGCTGTCCCGCTGTACAGCCACACTGCTCGGGTGCATCTGCACCTGTCTGCAGGACTGGAAGATCTTCAGAATCAGAAGCAGTAACAATACTGCTATTAACCCACAAAGCACTGGCACCTTTGCTGACAGACTGGACTTCACGTGTGCTGCTCTCCCCCTTGACAAGGCTTAGCATGATTGCACAGTTCTAAAGTCAGGTGCCAGCAGTGAGACCAGGGGGCCAGCTTGTCTTCTAGTGCCTCCGTCCTACCAGAACTTCATGTGGGAACTTCCAGGGAAAGGCTGAGTGCAAGAGGAGCACTTTCAAGACTCTGAAGAAGCTCTCTCCTTTTTCTTTTTAAACTTCAGAGAACACAGAAAAAAGTGAAACTTCATTTTCCAGTCTACTAGAGTACATGAGGAGGCTACTCAGTTGGTGATCACCCGCCAGGCTCCAGAGTAAAGAGGTCACCACGTGTTCCCTTCTCAGGTGGCACAAATGTTGGAAACCACCTAAAGTGCCAGAGTGTTAGGAAAGAACTAGAAAAATGAATCAAGAAGCTGTTAGGTTTTCCTTGTTTGTAATAGTAACAATGAGGAGCAAGTCTTTATAACCATCTGGAAGATGTTGATGCTCTCCCCCCACTTTACCTATATAGCCCCCCCCCCCGTTTGCACCTCTTAAAATCTCTTTAAGAATGTTGTTTGCAGAAGGCCATGGATGACAGTGGGAGTCCAACACACATTTGTGGGAACGACATAGGAAATAAGCCTCTGGTGATAGCCCTCTATCCATAAATGAGGGAGGGGAGGCGAGGGAAGTGGGTACTAAACAGAGCGCACTGGACATGGGTACAGAAGATAAAAGGGATAAACCTGACTCGAACAGTTGAAATCTTGTCCGTTGACCCCCCTCTGATGCACGCCGGATGGCCCTGATCTGGTTTGTGACATCTGAGTTTTTGTTTTGTTTTAGTTTGTTCATATTAGGGTTTGTATCAGAGGTGTTATGGCATTGGGGGACACCCTCTTAAAAATTGTGTAATACGTTTTTCTATTTTTCATTATATGAAACTCAGGATTGATGAACCTACAGGGACAAGTAGAATAAGGGTTTCAGGGAGGAAGGAGGAAAAAAGGGAGATGACGTCAAGGAGTCCGGGAAGAAAAGGAATGTTTGGAATCTGATTGTGGCAGCAATTGTATAACACCGCTTGACGTGATTGATGAATGGAATGACATATGTATTAACTCCCCATTAATAATACGTTTTCAAATAAAAATCTCTTTGCAGGATGATTTGCATTCTTGAAGCAGTTCTTGAAGCCCATAGTAATAGATAAGCATTTATTTGATACTGAAGTCAACTATCTATGTCCAAGATAAACTGATTGTGATACAAGAAGCCTATTTAGAGAGAACATAGAATTTTACTCTCCTGTGATTATGGCCAAGGAGCCCTGGTGGTGCTCTTGGGTAAGCTAACTGCAAGGCTAGTGGTTCAAACCCACCAGCTGCTCTGTAGCAGAAAGATAAGACTACCTGCCCCAGCAAAGATTTACAGCTTTAGAAACCCTATAAAGAGTTGCTATGAGTCAGAAATGACTCAATGGCAGTAGGTTTATAAAAGAAGAATGTTGCCATAGTCTCTGAATAATTTTTTCTTGCTCTTACAAAACTTCAGGCATAGAGAAAGGGAATTAATTGAAAAACTGAAGTTTACAGCAATGAACTGAAGGAAAATGACCTTCCTCAAATATCTCTCCTTTCCATCTCAAGTTCAATGAGGCTTCTTCTTTGATTAGTTCCTGGGGCATTGATTGGTCTTCCTTCTTACATTTTCCTGAAGATCAGTTGTTTGCTGCAGATTTCTTTTCCTGTTCTTCAGCTCTGAGATACAGAAAATGGTTTTCATGCAGAACCAGAACATGGATCAATGAGGAAATAATTCTGCCCTCTTTACTCCAGGATATGAGCTCTCTTGAGATAGTACACTTTCCACCGAGTTCTTTACCCAGTGAGGAGGGGTCTACTTTATGCTGTCAAAGCTCTGTACTGGGTTAGTTCTGGCTGGCAACTATTAAATAGTGCAGAATGTCTATTCGTGAACATTGGTAAAGTGCATGCGCCAGCTTTCCCACCGTGGCTCCCTTATTGCCTTCCCTCATAAGCCACTTTTGGAGCATCTGGTAAACCTTTTCTTTTAGTCCATCTCGCTCATAGTCATGGTCAATTTCATCAATCTGAGGTTCGGTGAAGCCCAGTTTACGGGCACATTTTTTCCAGTGCTTTCCCAGATTCTCTCTGACTGGGTCCAGGTGTTTATCAGTCAGACTGGAGAGATTATCTGCAAAACAGAAAAGGAAGATGGTGGGGCCAGAAAGGGGGAATCGATCACAGGGATCTACATGTAACCTCCTCTCTGGGGATGGGCAGCGGAGAAGTAGGTGAAGGGAGATGCCAGGCAGGGCAAGATAAGATATAATAATAATTTATAAATTATTAAGGGTTCATGAGGGAGGGGGGAGTGGGGAGGGAGGAAAGGAAAATGAGGAGCTGATTCCAGGAACCCAAGCGGAAAGCGAATTTTGAGAACGATGAGGGCAACAAATGCATAAGTGTGCTGTGCACAATTGATGTATGTATGGATTGTGATAAGAGTTGTATGAGCCCCAATAGCATGATTTAAAATAAGATAAAACGCTAAAAAAAAAAAAAAAAGAAGATAGTGTATCAAGCCCTGACTTGTTTGAACATGTTGACTGCCTCAATTGCTGAAAGTAAAACAAGTATAGTGACGAATACCAGCAGCCACCCAAACCGGTCACCTTTGTTAAACAGCTGTTTATTCACTGGATTTGAGACTTTCTAAGACTTTGTGTGAACTTGAACAGGGTACTCCTTTCTCCCAATATATGCAACCCTAAGTCACTGTTGATGGTGCAGTGACCAAAATCCCTACTTGGCTACTAGATTGGGCATTCTAAGTAACTTGGAACCAGTAGCCTGTTTATATTATACTTTCCAGGATATAAAAGTGTGTGTTGGGGGAAGCACTGCTTTTGTTCATTTTGAGTATTTTCTACTTAGCTTTTCTACAGAGTCAAGGCCTCCTAGGTCCTACTGTCCTTTCCGCAAAATATCACTTTCCGCTGATTTAATCAAGGAAATTGAGACTATCGTGATGCATGTTTGTGCATGGTCACATCTTGCAGGGTAACTATTAAGTCAATGAAATGGATAAATAAATGTGTGAGAGGTCTTTATGCAATAAAACTGATTTTAATGTAATCCAAGTGATTAACCCACTGTTAAGTCTGACATTACATTACCGTGATAGACTATGGGCCTTTTGAAGGGGGAAAATGTAAGTCTTGACCAAAGTGTAGTTTACAGGTTCCTAAAGCGAATTTAACACAGCAGCTATAGAATTGAAGATAGTGACTTTATATAGTGATTAGTACCAACAATTTAAAGCGAAGTGCTTCAGTGTTTCACTCCATCAATTGCTATGCTTTCTTTTCTCTCACAGGATGAGGTACTGACACGCCTCTTGGAATGTCTGTGGGCCACTGCCTGCTTCCTCCAACTGCCGTCCCTCCTTCCTCCTTTGATAATAACCTCTCTTTCTACTGGCCTCCTTCTCGTCTTCTTTCATAAAAATAGCCAATAAAAAGAAACAAATCAAAGTATAAAGCCATCATCACAAACAAAACATATTCTTTGATCTTGACCAAAGGATTCAATAAGATGAAATTTTAAAATCCCCCCCCCCCACTCTCATTCTTTTTTCTCCTCTCCCCACTAGTGGATGCCAATGTTTCAAGAACATCGTGAGATAGTTTCCAAATGTAGTCAGGACCTCTCTAGGAGAGAGCCATATAGGGTTCATCAGCTTCTCAGAGGCGTTCCTGTCTCGCCAACATTTGAGGAACTCTGCTATAAGTATTTTAAATGCTTCCCATCAAATAGGCTAGAACAAGGATTGGCAAACTATACTGTGGCCAAATCTGCTTATATTTGTAAATAACGTTTTATTTAAACACAGACATGCCTATTTGTCTACATACTACATTGCTATAGAGTTAAGTAGTTCCTACAAGAACCTCGGGGCCCTGAGGAAGCCTAAAATATTGACTCTCCAGCCCTTTACTAAAAATATATATATTGCCAATCCATGGGTTAAGTAGAAACCTGGGTTCTTAGGATTTCAAATGCTAATGGAATGTAGACTTGCTTAGTGCAATGGAGGCTACATGAACGTTTGAAACTATTGACCTGGTAGACTCTTGAAAGGTTAAATTGGAAACATTAGAAGCAGTGAATTTATGTTAATGGAGGAAGAACAGTTTAGAAAAAGAGGGTAAGGATGTTACACAACTCAGAGAATGTAACTAGTATTACTGAATGCACATGTGATACTGTTGAACTGGTCTATGTTCTGCTGTATTCAGCACTTGGTTTGTTTCGCTCTGGTGGCTTGTGTGTTGCTGTGATGCTGTTGATTCCTTCTTTATAATCCATTCTTAGTCCAGAATTTCTGCTGAAACCTGTTCGCTTTGGGTGACCCTGCTGGTATTTCAAAGGATGGGCTCCTCGGATCAGAAGGCATTCAAAATGTTACTAAGAAGGAGCTGCCTTCTCAAAGCAGAGTCAACTATGGTGACATGAACAGAGTGAAGCCTGGGGGAGTAAAGCCTTTGGGGTCTGCATTTGCTGATGGGGCCCAACTCAAAATGAGAAGACACAGCTGCAAAAATCTAATCATTGGAACTTGGACTAAGTATGACTCTAGGAAAATGAAGGGCGTCAGAACTGAAATGGAACCCATGAACATCAATAGCCTAGGTGTTAATGAGCTGAAATGGCGTGATACTGGCCATTTTGAATCAGAAAATCATATGGTTTACGGTGCCGGGAATAACATAATCAAGAGCATGGTGTTGCATTCATCGTCAAAAAGGGCATATCAAGATTGATCCTGATGTACACTGGTACAGATAGGAACTGGAAACACAGGGAATCCAGGGCGGATGATCCCTTCAGGCCCAGTGGTGTGAGTGGTGATACTGGGAGGGTAGAGGGAGAGTGGGTTGGAAAGGGGGAACCGATGACAAGGATCTACATGTGACCTCCTCCCTGGGGGATGGACAACAGAAAAGTGGGTGAAAGGAGACATTGGACAGGGCAAGATATGACAAACTAATAATTTATAAATTATCAAGGGTTCATGAGGGAGGGGGGAGGGGAGAGGGAGGGCAGGGAAATGAAGGCCTGATGCCGGGGGTTTAAGTGGAGAGCAAATGTTTTGAGAATGACGAGGGCAATGAATGTACAAATGTGCTTTACACAATTGACGTATGTATGGATTGTGATGAGTTGTATGAGCCCCTAATAAAAGGATTAAAATAAAAAGCTTGATCCTGAAATACAATGCTGTCGATGATAGGGTATATCTATCCACATTCAAAGAAATCTAACCAATAGAACGATTATTCACATTTAAGAGCTGTAAGATGACATAGAGAACATCATTTATGAAGAAAGCAAAAGGTCATTAAAATGCCCAAACGAAAGAACAGATCAACGTGGGTATTAGAAGAGGCTCTGAAACTTGCTCTTAATTGTAGAGTAGCGAAGGCACAGAGGAGAAAGGATGAAGTCAAAGAACTAAACAGAAAATTTCAAAGGGAGCTCTTGAAAATAAAGTAAAATATTATAAGGGAACGTGCAAAGACCTAGAGTTAGAAACTGAAAGAGGAAGAACACACTTACTATATCTGAACCATGGAACTCAAGAAAAAAGATTCAAGCCCTGAGATGCAATATTGAAAGATTCTATAGGAAAAATGCTGAATGATGCAGGAAGCCTTAAAGGAAGATGAGAATTGAAGAGATCATTGAAGAGACGGGTACTTTAGCAAAGTGAGATAAAGAAACTAGATGGTGCCTAGCTACTAACAGTAACAACATCAGGGGACTTAAAGGTTTGACTTAAAACAAGCTTACATCTAAGTAAAGTTTCAACCAAATCCACATGGAAGAAGCACACAAGCCTGTGTGACCCATGGATTGTAAATACAATGTTATCAGGCCTTAAATTGTGAACACCTGTTTGCAAAGGCTATGGATGACAGTGAAAGCCCAATAGCCACTTGCAGGGTTCACACATGGATTAAGCTTCTGGTGAATTCCCTGTGAACATAGCTGAGAGGTGTGGATAGCCATGGTATCAGACAGAGCATTGGAAGTCGATTGTGAAAGACATAGATAGATTAATGGAATATCTTATCACTTAATCTCCCTTTTGACCCATTTTAAAGTTGTTTCAGTTAAAACAGAAAGTTCAGGGGAAATACATGGACCATGCCTCTGTTTCACACCTTCTGACCATGGTTCAAAGATGCAAATAGCCTTATCATGCAGAAGGCCCAGGAAAATGGTTTATTGCAGATGCAGTTAAGTTAAAATGTAGCATCTTATAATTGGAGGTGCCTTATGATCCATGTTAAACTTGTTCTAGTTTTTAATATTTGGGATTTCTTTTGATTGAGGTTTTAATGTGTTTTACTTTGTTATTGTTAGTTTTCTTAAATGTTTTTCTGTATATGAAATCCAGGATTGGTAAATCTATAGAGACAGTAACTGGATTAATGGTTCCTTGGAGGTATGGCAAGAAGTTAAGGAAGAATGGGGAGCTAGCAAGATATGACAAAATAATAATTTATAAATTATCAAGGGCTCATGAGGGAGGGGGGAGTGGGGAGCGAGGGGGAAAATGAGGACCTAATGCCGGGGGCTTAAGTGGAGAGCAAATGTTTGAGAATGATGAGGGCAATGAATATACAAATGTGCTTTACACAATTGATGTATGTATGGATTATGATAAGAGGTGTATGAGCCCATAATAAAATGATTTTTAAAAGACTGGACAGCTAATAACAATGAGTACAAGAATGAAGAAATTATTCTCAAATGGATTGTGGTCAGGATTGTCCAATGCTTCTTGATGAGATTTAACAACTGAATTGTATGATATGTAAATTATATGCCAATCAAATTGTTTTAAAAAAAGAACAGGGAAAGAATACACAGTCACAGTTCCAAAAAAGAACTAGTCAACCTTCTACCATGTATGCTACTACCTTCAGAAGCCTACATGCAAGAAATAATAATACTGAAGGAAGAAATTCAAGCAACTAAATGCATTAGTCCAAAACAAGGCTCCAGGAGTTGATGGGATAGCAATTAAAATATTTCAACAAGCTGGTGGAGCACTCACTTGTCTCTGCCAGGAAATTTGGAAGACAGCGACTTGGTCAATGGACTGGAAGAGATCCATATTTG